TATCTTTAAAGATGTTACTGAAGTATATGTCATGTAGTGTTTGACCCATCTTTGCTTCCAGGTATTTTATGGTTTCTGTTCTTATGTCTAGCTAGGTCTTTAATACACTTTGAGTTGATTTTTGTGTATGGTGTGAGGTAGTGATCTAGTTTCATTAGCTTCCCAGTTTTCCCAGCACCATTTGCAGCACAAACTTTCTTTGTTCCATTGTATCTTCTTTACTCCTTTGTCAAAGATTAGCTGTCCATAAACTTGTGGGTTTATATCTGGGTTTGCTATTCAAATCCACTGGTCTGTATTTCTGTTCTTGTTCAGTACCATGCAGTTTTGATTATTATGGCTTTGTAGAATAGCTTGAAGTTTGGGGTTGTAATGCCTCCATTCTCTTTCTTCTTAATCATGAGAGTTTTGGCTATTCAAGGTCTTTTGTTGTTCCATATGAATCTCATCAATATTTTTTCTATTTCTTTGAAGAATGTCATTGAGACTTTTATTGGGATGGTGTTAAATCTGTATATCGCTTTTGGCAGGATGGCCATTTTGATGATGTTAATTTTCCCAATCCATGAGCAGGGGATATCTTTCCATTTCATAGTGTCTTCTTGTATTTCTTTTAACAGTGTTTTGTAATTTTCTTTGTGTAGGTCTTTTACCTCTTTTGTTATTAGCTGCATTACACAGATGAAACTTAGAGATGTTTATTAACTAGCCTGTTTAGGATATGTAAAAACTGTGTAGTGAGTCTAGGATTCACACCTAGATCTGACTAATTTCAAAGCCCTTTTCCTTTCTATTACACCTCATAAATTAGGTTTCCAAGACAATGACTTGTACTGAGGTTATAATGATGGTGACACAGGCAGTCCAGGACATTGAAAAATCTTTTTATATTAGAGTTTCCATATTATTTGAATAAATACCTAACAGAGGTATTTCCAGATGATACTGAATTCTCATTTTTATTTTCTTAAAAAATCTGCGTACTATTTTCTAAAGGGGCTGTACCAACTAACATTCCACTGAAAGTGGATGAGAGTTCCTTTTTTTTTTTTTTT